AGCCCCCAGAAGAGCAGCTCCCGAAACAGTGGCATGCAGTGGCAGGAGCACCCATTCCCCGAGTCCTGCACCGCCGGCTGGGCATTGATCTGCCCCCACTCCCACACCCTTTCCCTCCCCCCTCCACCCACCACAACAGACTTACCAGCTTGAGGCAGCTGTGTCCAGCGTCGTCGAGGACCGCTGCTTGTAGTCTATGGCCAAATCTCCGAATCAGTGCCGAATCTCTCCAAATAGATTTGGAAGCTTCCGATTTGATTCAGACCTTTTAATGAGTCTCCTGATTCAATCTGGATTCAGAGATTCGGCCACCGACTCTCCTCCAAATTGAATCAGCTACTGAAGCTTCACACAGCCCTAGCAACCACCTCTTTTTGTGTTGCAATTGAAGGAGATTTACACTTTCAAAGGCATGGAGGACAGCCTTTAGGGCAGTAGTTCTCAATCTTTTTAGACTCAAGGCAGCACTCAGAAAATGCCAGCTCTTAATTTTCACTCATTTTTTACTACAAAAATATAATAGAGCAATTATGTTGCAAAGAATTCAGAAAAACGATATCAGGACAGAATATTTTGTAATACTATCAATTCCCATTTGAAATCTTTGGGTTTATTTTATGAATCATGTTTATGCACCTAAAAGTATTTATATTGCATAGCACCCCGCAACACTCCTGCAAAAATCTGAAGGTAGCCCTGGGTGCCACAGCACCTTGGCTGAGATTTAAAGGGGGATTTAAATTTCTTTAGCATTTAAAAACCTAACAATTCAGGACAAACCCATTTGAAAATATAACTCATTGTTAATTGTAAGAATTTAGGCCATGGACATTTGAATAGAGTAACCTGTAAAAAGTCAATAAAAAACTTGCGACCCCTGGATGAATGTGAAAATGATGTGTAAATTTGCCCATCAGGGGCAAATTTACCCCTGGACAAATCACACATTCAAATGCATGGCCTGATAGTTTGTACATGGCTGCCAGGATGTGATTTACTTAAGGGATCATGCCTTACACTTATCTTGCTTTCCCTGAAGTTCAATGAACCTGAAAACTGATTTAAGTGGATCCAGAAAGGTGTTTGATCTGGTTTAGTCAATCAGCTTAAAACAAATCTAGTAAACTGGGGAAACACTCATAGATTAAGCCTTTGGTTCTGGAGCACAATTCTGCAGCAAGTGCTGAATTCTGTAACAAATTCTGGAGCCACGGAACAGTGAGGGCCTTGGTATACAGTGCACGACTATGTAGGCAATTTTTCCACTAAATTTTTAATCATCTTGGGAAGCATCATCAAGTATTAGGTACTCTCCAATTCGACAAATAAGAGACTTCATCTCCCTGAAGAGTTTACAACCTAATATTTTTGCAATTAATAAATAAGTATTTGCCCTGCAGGTCCATCAGATATTGTGGTATAAATTTGCTAGGAGAATGTGCTTGTCCAGAGCTGAACAGTGGAAACCAAGAAAATGGATTACGCCAGTTTTAGCAACCCCAAAGTAATATTCCAATATAAAGCATTCTCTCTAGAGCATGAGTACCCGATCCAAAACCCAGTACTGTATCATCTGGTCTATGGGACTCCCCATGAGCTGTGGCCCTGTATGCTAGATTGGGCATGCAAGGTGATATGAAGCCCAATCCCAACACACAGGATGGGGCTGGGCAGCACAGGGGGCTACGTAAAGACAGTGCAGGGTCCAATCCTGGCATGTGGGGGCCAGGCAGAGGCAGTGTAGCCTCCGGAGCCTGATTCCACCATGTCAGACTGGCTGAGGGAAGCATGGAGCCTAATTGTGGCACATGGGGCCAGACAGCGTCAGCATGAGGCCCCAAGGCCCAATCCCAGTGGGCAAAAGGGGTGCAGGCTCTGATCTTGTTGGGCAGAAGTGGACACAGCCCAGGGCCTGATCCTAGTGGGCAGACCAGCCTTGTGCTGCTCAACTGGCTTGCAGGGCCAAAAGCTTGGGCACGATGGACATAAACATCTTCCTATCATTCCAGCACACCAGTGTAAGATGAGAGTAGGTCAACAGACAACCTGTATTGTACCCCTGTATTTGAAGGAATGCAACACTGTTAAAATGTGCATGCAACGATCAGCTGTAGTGTTATTTTGCATAGACCTAGAGTTAGTTTCTAGTGGATCATTTTTTCCATTGTATATACAGTGGAGTCACATCTTACGCGGGGGTTAGGTTCTAGTCAGCGCATCAGGCGAAAATCGCGTATAGTCAAAATTACACTTTAGCAGTTATTGGAGCACTTGATGCCACGGCTTGACGAATTTCTCTCTCTTGAATCTTGATGGCATGGATGCTAGATTCGTTGTGGCCATATTTACACGCCACGTTGGAGACTGACATACCGTCTCTCAACAAGTGCAACACGGCCAGTTTTTCTGCCAGCATTGGAACAGATCGCTGTTTCTTTGGTTGAGCACCAGCTGAAGTAGTTGGCTTGCATTTAGGGGCCATGTTGTATGAAAATGATGCATCTTTAAACACTAGAATCACACTCAGCGTGGCGAGATGCTCACACTATGAGAGGTGGGAATTCATTGAGCGGAATGGCGGGGGGAATTGCCCACACTATTTAAATTGTTATTTTTCTCTCTTTTTTTTTGTGCCGAGCGTGTATAGTTGAATTCGTGTATGTTAAATGCGTGTATGATGCGACTCCACTGTACGTGAAAGTTGGGCAGAGGTTGGGGGAGCAGAAGGAAGTTTTCAAATTGATTACTACTTCAAGGCACCTGCATCTTAGATCTCTTAATGCTTCATATGTTTTTTTCAGACCTAATCTTTAATATAGATGTGGCCTCCTATTAAGATTCACTTAATTCTGTAATGTCTAAACAGGCTTTATGTCAAATATGATAATAACCATGATCCTGTATTTTGGAGTATGTGTTATACATCTTATAGCTTAGGAAGAATTAAAAAAAAAGTCACAGTATTTTTTATATTGAATTTGAAGCCAACCATCTAATAATCTACATAATGTAATGGAGAAGGTAGACTAAGAGTTGCTACTTGCCTTTTCATAATACAAAACCAAGATAACCATCAATGATAACAATGCACAATATGTCTATGGAACTCACTGCCAAAAGCAAGGCTAAGACTGGTGGCCTGTCAAGATTCAAACACAAAACTGCATAAATTGATAAGATTACCCAGAGTTAGAAAAATAAATGTTAAAAACCTTTGGAAGGGTTTGTTGTTTCCCAATGGCCTCTTAGAAAACACTTCTCTACATGACAGCTTTTGGTAAGGTTCCCACAAATCCACCCCTTTTCAGGCAAGAACCCCCACAGAGATAGAGTTCCTCTGCCCAACAGAACAGTGCAAAGTGATAATTGATCTAATTAGCAACATATATTAAGACTAAAAATAAAATACTGAAAACAAAGGAAGTGGTTCTGTACAACAGCTTGGGCTAAACTCTGATAATTTATTGTTTAAAAAAGATGATTCTTTTATTAAATTGCTTTTTTCACATGCTATGCAAAAGCAATAAAACATAACATTTTAAATTTTATAAAAACTTGTGCGGTTTTATAAAAATTATTGAGGGATCTACCCTCATAAAACAATACCAACAGGAGTCAAGTTGCATCTACCAGTAGTATATCCATTGCCTATGGATGTGTCTATATATCACCACTTTCTCCTGGAGAGTTAAGATGCACTGGAATAAATGATTTAAAAATTATTCCATCATGAAAAGAACTGCTGCTCACTTGTTCATAATATATTTCCTAGGTACTGGCCTAAAAGCACTGACTAACCTGATTTCATTTGCCAATGGGGGAAGGAAGTGTAGTAAGATGGGACTTGTTTGGTGTCCCTAATTTGCAGTTGTAGATACATTTGCTCACATAAAGCCAGCCTACAAGGCTTTTCAACAGTATGTGTATTACCAGTTCACATCCCTGTCAGCTGTGCTTTAATACTACCAGTAGCATCTCTCCCAGTCCAGTATAATTCCTGTGCATGTCTAATTTGTGTAAAATAATATGACCTTTTGACTATCATACAACAAATACAAAATACAGTCAATGAATTTCATGGGTAGGTTCAGATACAGGTAAGATACTTTTAAATGGGATGATGTTTCACCTCTGTGAACCGTGACACTTACATATTGTTGTTGCTCTAAACACACAGTATTAAAAAAGAGTGTTTGCATGAGAGATGCCAATGAAACAGGAATAAAGACTACACCACCACAACCACATCATTCTTAACTGTGATAAAACATCTTGAGAAGACGGATTGTTTTTTCCCCTCATATCCTATTCAAATTTTTCATAGTCATTCTTTGTGAAGTCTTAAATTCGTCTTTCCAATGAAAGCATGTGATAGTTAACACATTTTATGTTTTATTTATCAAAATTAGTCAGTACACTTCCCATAAGAGAAAAATACAATTTAGTTCCATTGGATTGTTTCAACTTCAATCAGTTCATGTTACCCACATGATCTCAAAACAACGGAGTTACATTTAAATCTTGGCAGCTTGCAAAGGAATGTTGCAAAAGCAATTTTTTTAATGTGAAAGGTTAGGTCAGAAGTACAACCACTGCTTTGCAATCCATCCCTCAGATTCTTCTACTTAAAACTGAAGGTGGTCTTAATACAGTTTTTGGACAGGTGGTGGTAGATCTTTCTGCCTGACAAAAACACCTTGAAATATTCAGGTCATTTGGCTAGATTGCAATTCCTGCCTACTATTGCTCAGCACAGCAAAATTCACAGAAAAAAACATGACACCTGCATGCTCCTGACAATGTCAACAGCACTAGGTATACGTGACAGATGTATCAGTAAACTGGAAAACATCCTCATCATACAAGTCTTCTGGTAGCTGCTCTTCTCCATCAGCAAAAAATGTGGGGAATGGAGGATTTTCAAGACAATGTGCAGGCAGATTTGAATCTCTGATCTAGAGGGGGAACAAAATGGTTTAATAAATCAAATGGAAAATTCAAAAAACAGTAATGTATTCAAAACATAGGAAATCTTTTTTTCCCCCTCATGCATGAGGAAAACCACATTTATACTACATTATTTATGTAAAGAATTCCATGTCCAATCATCAGTTATAGTAACAGTACCATCAGTTCATGATAATTTTGTTCTGGATCCACTAGAGTTTGGAAAAACATCAGTATTTGCTCTTTTAACCAGGTTGTGGGAGGAATCAGTTAACCTCCAAGAAATCAAAGCATGAAATTATACCCAAAACACACCAATTTAAGTCTCTAGAATCTGATTTTTTTTTTTACTATTATTAAGGCAAGTTAAATGTAGCATCACTGAAAGAAGCTCAGTTTTTTATCCTATGCATGCATTTAAGTTTATAGTTACACATTTCCTATCACAGCCAGTTTTCTAAATTGCACCTGTTTATTTCTCCACACAGCAACAGGAGCTTTGTTTTCCTCTCTTAAATGGAAAAATGTAAATTACAAAACACAAAAGTATACAAGGGTGAAATTACTTTAAAAATAACTGGATATCAAGTTGGTTGTGTCCCTTTTATTTGAATTGTGCTTGTACTTATAATTTCAGAAACTCCAGTGCTAGATAGGCAGTTTGACACCTTTCTACTTCTCTAGACAAACCGTTTTATACACAAAGTCAGTCACAGGCTTATTTTGTGCGTTATGTTTACCACCAGGTAGTATTCCCCATTACCCAAGGATTTTTGCAGGGAAACCGGAATGCTGGTCTGAGGCCTTATAAACAGTATGAAACATTTCATTCATTAGATCTTCATACTGGGTACAGAGCATGCTTGTTAATAAGATATTCAACCCTTAATTAAAGACAACCACTAGCAATTTTTCCAGAATCAAGGACAGAAAAATCCTAAGGTCTTTTATACTTACTAACAGCTACATCTGTTAATCCTCATGAGAGTTTATGGCAAATATCTGCGATAAAAACAAGCTTAGACTGGAATATCAATCCCAAAGTGCACGTAAGTGCTAAAATGGATGCACTACAAGCGGTGCTGTTGGATTCTATGGAGCTGATAAATGTA